ACACACAGGGTGCCTGGTCCCTGTCTAGCCACAAATCCCCACTGAATTCATCTGAATTCAACACAAATCGATGCTCTACAACTCTACGAAACTCGAACCAACATCAGAAACTCCCGTCTCGGCTCAACGCCCGATCCCAGCGCGCGCGCTTTGCGCGCCTGCTTCACCAACTGGATGTTGGCTTTGGCGGAGTTCTGAAGGTAGACCAGCAAGCCGTAGATGGCCAAACCCCCCAAGCCCAACAAGACCAACACGCCGATAACGATGAGCACCGCCACCAGAGGGAAGTTATTGGTGCGCGCCTTGGGTGAAATGATGCAGAACTGGGTCGAGACACAACAGATCAGGTGCCATGAGAGATTGATCCTGCTGGCGTCGAACTAAATTGGAAGCGCTGGGTTTGGGACCTGCTGAGAACACCTTTTACAAATTTGACCAAACCACAACACCCCCTGCTTTAAGATCCCCATCACTAGGACGAACAATTGAATTCTTGAAATGGAAATGCCCTTCAGGGGGCAGCTGTTGCTTGGGTCTTTGTTCAGGATCTGGTGAGACGCCCATTCACTGCTGTTGGTGATTGGGATTGCTCTCCCCCAGCCATGCTGGTATGTGTTTCATGGCCATGCGGGTGTGTCCTAAAAAATTTGTGCTTGGAGTCTCAAGAATCAACAGAGGCAGGTTTCGGTCTGTGTTCCTTTGCCCCAACAAAGTCGACACCCGGGGCGGCCAACTCGTCGGGCCATGGCACTGCGGCGGCCGTGCTCGTGGTGGGCATCGTGGTGGGCGACGTGGTCGTCAGAGCAGTGGTGGTTGGAGCAGCGGTGGCCGTGAGGTTGGCATCGGTCGTGGTTGTGAGATTTGTGTCATTCGTGTCATTCGTGTCATTGGTGCCTGGCTGCGAGGTCCGGCTTCTAGCTGACAATATGGATCTGTCTCAAACCCTGAGAATCTCCCCGTGGATTCCACACAGTTCCTACGACCCGTGCATCTGAGTCGAGAGGGTCCCGCCCTCGTACTACTAGTGCAGCAGAGTCCAAAAACAAGCTCCTCACAAACCTTGACTCCAAAATCCTCTTCTCCACCGCCCGAATCACCCGGCCTTGCAAGTGCCTTAAATACGGCTCAGCATTCACCAGACTGATGAGCAACACAAGGATGAGCCCCTGACCCAGTGTGCACCGGTTACACCAGCAAGATGTGCAAAAATGGAAGGTCGAACCTCCGAGGGTTTTTCGAGACGCGCATCCACCACGAAATGGGCTGCACGACCCGTTGACAAACTGTCCAACTTGGGAATCTCTTAAGTTCGTCAAAATGAGATCTGTCGTTGTACGCACGAAGTCTGGCTGGCGCACGACTCGATGAGGAGTGCAACCCTTAGCAACAGTAGTCCCTCCAGCTGAAACATGTTGGGATGCAAGGTCCTGGACTGGATTGGATACCCCTAGCGTTATAAAAACTAGAATATAGACTGTACTCAACAAGTTCCACCTCCAAAAGCAAAACCTACAGGACCTACAGGTTTGCTACTGCCACCCTGACTCCCCAGCCATGTCCCAGCCAAGCACGAGCGACCACACCTGAGATTTTCCCATCACCTTGCAGTGGGGGAGAGACCAGCAAGGAGAAGCAAGGCCTGAAACAGATTTTGAATGATTCCATTGTTGGGAATCGAAATGGCTCGCTTCCCTATGTCTATCAAAAACGAAATGTCGACCATCTCAAAATACAAAGCTCATCAAATCAGGGAACTCTGACACTTGACCTCCAAGTAAGCCGGAAAACAAAACATTGCAGGATCCTCGCGGTCCTCTTGCACCTTTGTACTAGTGCACGGCCGGCAAGCTTCTTTCACCCCAACCAGAGACAAGCCCCCCATTCGCCCAAACCGCCCATTCCGGCCATTCCCGATCCAAACACCGCGCGGAGGTGATGGGCGGTCGGCCTCTCCACTAGCCGGGCACACCCATCCCGTCGGCCCTCACTCTCGTGGAGGACTCCAAATCCAAACGGCACTGGCGGTGGCGGTGGAGCCAAACGAGCCATGCAAGGCGACTGAGTCGTGGTACTTGGCGTCGGAAAGGAAGCACACCTATGTTACCCGACCACGACCCGGATCGACCCTGGACCTACCAACACCCACTCATACCCACAAAACCAAAAGCCAATCATGTGTGATCCTGGTGTTTGGGACGGTACACTCTCAACGGCAACATGGAAGCGCAAACATTGCCCTTTGCATAACTACTTTCCAGACGTTCCAACATAATAACACAACAAAAAGTTTCGGTTTTCCGTGGACTTTTGTTCAGTGTGTTTACATATGCCTGAGTGTACCTTCAGCTGCCCCCTTAGCCCAAGCACATCCTCTTTCTGGTGCCATTGGGCACAACCCTTTGTTCGGACTGGTCATTCCATCACCCCCCCAGCGTGGCAAGAAACACCGGCAGGCCGAGAATGAAGCCTGACAATCCATACCAGCATGTATTCATCATCATGATATTACCTAACAACCCATGATCAATTCTTTTGCCAGCAGGGCACAACCCTGGCACAACGTGTGTAAAGAAGTGAGCTCCTGCTCCGAGGCACACTGTCTGCACATTCACGATGTTGGTGTTGGGAGAATAATTGTGGACCACACGAACATGATCGAATCCAGCCATCCGTCAGTCTGAGAGAGGCCGAGAAGTCTGGCTCTTCCAGTTGTGAAGTTTGCCTTGGCTTGAGGACCCTTTCCAATATACGCAAAGCTCGCCCTAGCAACACTGCAACGCAGCACCTCACACAGTTTGCAGTTCGCGGCTTTTTTGACACCTCTCCAATGGTTCAATCTTTGCACAGTTTCTCGGATCCTAAAACTTTGGCCAGATGACATGCCATCAGCACACCTGCCATGTGGAGTCTGGGAGAAGGTGGTTCTCCGTTGTGTTGGTGGCTAGGAGTGTATGCCCAAGCAACCTAGACTACTAGACAACCTATGTTATCTCAACATAACAGCACAGCATACCATGAACTCCTGGTGAGCATTGCCGGCAAGTAGACCATGAAACAAGGTGAGGAAAGGGGGCGTTAGCTGGCGTTAGCCGAAAATAGCGAAAGCACGCGAAACAAAAAATCTGCTCCTAGACCCGAGAACGTTTTGGTCAGCCTAAGATCAAAAACCGGCCTGTCAGGCATGGATTATAACTGTCAGACCACAGGAGTGTCTGGCCAACCTGCAAACAAAGACATTACGAAAATGTATACTTTGGAAGCTTCACACATGGCTGTCCCCAATGCTTCTAATGCATCCCGAAAGTAAACAGAATGCCGGGTTCGTTCTCACCCACACCCACATCTCTTCCTGCCTGGTGGCTGACCGTGACGCTCTGTCACGATCACGCCTCGTCATCAGCCTCCGCAATGCTAGATACGTTTTGGTTGTTCGAAAGTCCCTTTTAGTGCGATACATTCGGCCAGCCCTTCAAGATTGGAACCCTCTTGCTTAGGGATGTGCACATGGTGCAGCTGGTGTTTTCTCGCTGAGGTTCAACAAAAAAATAATGGTAGTGGGGTCCTATCCAAATGGATCGTTGGGTTCCTTCCACTCTGAACTTCAACTCCGCTCGTGCCTCAGCTGCCTTGTCCTCTCCAGGCGCGTCAGGTCCTCTGTCCTTGCCGACCAAACAACCACGTCACCAAAACAGCCACCAATCAAACAGCCACCGGATCTTCCGAGCGCCACCGGATCTGGGATTCGTTCACTCTCGTCTTTCACCTGCCGGTGTTGGGGTGAAACGTGGTCCCCTCAGGTGTTTTCGGGGAGGAAGAACCTCGCATCGGGAGGTCCGGGTCAGGTCCCATCTCGGTGAATGAAGCGACCATTGGGTCGGCCGCAGAGCACGCGCGCGGCGCAGAGCACGCGCTCCGGGTTCACGCCACGGCGTCCTCTTGCTCCTCCGCCTCGGAGTAGGGCAGACAGGACGGATGGCGGACAGGACGGATGATGGATCTAAGGAGCATGTGCGGGACCTGGCAACACTGAGCCAAATCCAACAGCATGCCAGGGATCAAAGGAGAGGGAAGTCTTTCCCACAAAATGTCACGCAGCCGACTCTCACTCGACCTCACTGTGTCTGATCAGCCTCTCCATTCTTGAAAAACGCAAGTGCCCTGGCTTCCGACTCCGGTGACGTTGTGCTTCCGGCCGAGCACCACTTGGCCATCCAAACCGGGAAATCCACTGAACCAACTCAACTCGGAGAACTTTGCAACCTATGCTGCTCTTTGACTCATTCTCTCACAAAATGTGCTTGAGATCCTCTAGTGCCCACCTGCCAGCTCCACCGTACCTCCCCTTTTTATGCCTAACGAAGCCTTCATACTGCAGCAGGGCTATCCCACCCCGACCACCCCGGAACCGCCACTGTGCTCTCCCACATCGAAGGCAGTGGCATCTGGGTCCTCCTCGTCGCTCCGGCGAGCTGACCTGCCGGTGGCAGTGGATGATCAGGTGATGAACAGAACTTTTCCGCGTAATCTCTAAGACAAATATATATATATATAAAGGTGGGATTACGTTCTATATATATATATCTATATATTAATCCCACCTTTATATATATATATAAGACAAATAAAAATATCAATATAAAGGTGGGATTCTTCGTTCTCATCAATCATCCATAGAATAACTCAATGTTCACCTGGAGGTGTGCGTCATCACCAGGTCATTCTCATTGTGGTCCAGCTTTGGAGATGGAAAATACCAAGGAATTCCTGGCCCCACCCGTCGTTTGCACAGCCCTTGGGCGACCTCCACCCTCCAGCATTGTCTTCACTGGTGCGTCCAGGACGTCCTAGATTCAAAGGACGCCAGGTTTGCAAGGATTCACCGTGGGTAAAGAAAGCACCCTGTCAGTATGCCCCACCACCAAACTGAACAGACCAATCTAGTATCTCATGATTCTCACCTGCTTTGACCAGTACCACAGCTCCCTCACCCGCGCCTAGCGGCCTTCTCTGCGGCATCAGTGCCTGTTGCAAGAGCCAAAATGAGGTCTACATGTGCCGCCGGCATGGGCCGGCATCGGAAAAATACTGGTGACCAAAGATGTGTTGCACAAGGACCTGTATACAGGTTGTCTGCCAGCAAACCAATCAGAACCATGGAACAAGTATGAAAAAACACAGTGATTTGCAATGTTTCACCACTAGCACTCACCTTCTTTTTCAAGTCTGTGGCCTGTACAGACCCAAACTAACTGATTGATAAACCCCATGAAAGAGTGTGCACTTGGAAAGTCAAATCCAATGTGTGAATAAGAAAATACAACTTCATCCACCAATTGCTGGATGCATGGCAACTTCCTGCGGACAGCTTACCTTCAAAGCACCTGCCGACAACGATGTCTCTCTTTTCTCTCCGCTCTGGGAACAGAACAGTCGCGCCGCAGCGGAAGATGAGATCAGCGATCAGCTGCGTGCACGCTTCCAAAACCGGTCAGCGTCGTCTATCGCCTGAACGATATGCTTGTGGCCATACCTTTCCTAAGCTGGCAAGCTCAGCTATCCAAGGAAGAGCACAGTGTGCAAACGATCAAGGTCACAAAAAGCTGCACCACAAAAGCCACACCACCACGGACATGGACTTCATGGAACCCAAAAACATGTCGTTTGGCAAGTTTGGGGTTCCTCTGGATGGCAGATCTCCAAAAACGAAGCAAAGCTGGTTCACCCATCTCCATTTTCTCAGCCTCACGCTGAAAGAAAAAAGATCCCAAACGGATCCCAAACGGACCGACAGATCCAGTCATCGATCCATATCGATCCATCACATGACTCATGACTCATGACTCATACCCCACGGCTGACACGGTCCAGCCCGGTGGCCGCGATGTCTCGAGCGCTCCAGCCCACCCCTGGGCGAAGCAGCACCGATCTGTGAAGCCCCAGCTTCGCGTGGTGTTGGGTGTTGGGTCCATGTCTTACTCCCCGTAAGATGAAGGAAGGAGATGTCTGGCTGCATGAAAGAACCACAGACCCAACCCTCAAATCCCTTCGAATCCCAGTAAGCCTCGCTTCTTTCCCCATTCGCCTCAGGGTCATTGTTAGAAGGGTTGAGTCAAGTGGGCCTTTGAAACAGTTTTTTCAGGCACTTGAGTGTGAGTCGCATGGATGACCGCCGAGCGGCAGATCTTCTTTTTTGGAGGGTCGGCCCCTTCCAATGGAATTATATATATATATATTATATATATATATATACCTGAGAAGGGGGGACGAAAGCCAGCAGCCGCCAGACGAGTGTCTCTTTTTCTGGCGGGCGTCGCGGCAGAAGACACATGGTCGGAAGCTTGCGGGTCAGTGGTGCCGCGGATGCGGGGGGGCGTATGTAATGGTGATGGAGGGAACAAAGAAGCAAGCCGGGCGGCTTTGGGATAAGTTTGGTATGAGGGAGAGAAGTAGTGAAAGAGAAATGCGATACGTTGTATGTTTGTGTAGGTCATCATCACAAGGCAATGGCATGTGTTTATCACATGCAGGAAGGTATGCATCTTATGGAAGTTGGAAGGCGACATCAGCGTTAGCAAACGGGAATCCCGTGTGAGTTCGAGTGGTGGGATACCACGTGCGCGCGCGGTGGGCGCCGCGCGCGCAGGAAGACCTTCTCCATAGTGAGCGCGCGCGCGAGTACGGCACGCGTTTGAAAAGAAGCAGTTACAGTATGTGTTTGTTACATTTGGAGTGTTTGAAGTTTGCAACGCATCCACGTCGAAAAACGGGCACGTCTTAGCCGGGACACGGACGTTTGATCCCGCGGCGCAGAAGGGGAGGTCCAGCAAGAGTAGCTTGGGCTAGCAAAGGAGTGAGGATTTGTGTGCTTATCGATGCACATGCCTGGACTTCAGTGAGTCATGTTCTGGCTCGATCCAAAACACAGTCTTGTTCCTTTAAAGGAGCCTTTATTAAACGATCCAAACACCTTCTTTATTCTTCTCTTTCTTATCAACATTTCTCACTCAGAGGCCTTGACGTTGGCACCTGCATGTGTAGATCTTTGGGCCGTGGACCCATGCTGACTGGATTCGGCCAGGGCTGCCAGCAAAAAAGGCGACGTCATGAGTCAGTACTATATAGAATTTATCTATCTCTCTATCTATCTATCTATCTACCTACCTATCTATCTATCTATCTCTATCTATCTAATCTAATCTAATCTAATCTAATCTACTCTACTCTACTCTACTCTACTCTAATCTAGTCTAATCTAATCTAATCTAATCTATCTATCTATCTATGTATCTATCTATCTATCTATGTATCTATCTATCTATCCATCTATCTATCGATCTATCCTGCACCGGCAAGCCGGAAAAACGTTCGGTGCGTGTGGACGCCGCGAGAAGCATCCACTCGACCGAGGACATGGTGCAAGTATAGTTCTTGCTAGGGGGCAGGAACCCGATGCGGATATGTAGTCAACCTCGCAGGCATCCCCACCGAAACTCAATCCAAATTCATGGACTTGAACTCATGTCACTTTCGGTTCTCTGTGAATTTCCCGAGTTACGGGTTCTCCTGCAAACTCTCATCCTACATGCGGCTGCTCTGTACATGGGCCCTGTCTCCACTCGAGTGCTCAGTGCCCATTGTCCAAATAGCCTCCAAGGCCCTTCATGATGCTAATGATGCACTACTCGGCGTCCATTACATCACTCGCATCACGAGGCCCCATTTTCACTGCTTTTCTGATCCTCGCTTTGGAGCGCTCTCCCCCACCAAGCTCTGGTTTTACCCTCTCAAAAGGTCCTTCTCAACGACCACCCCCCCCACACCCCCTTAACTCACTTCGTTCGCTCTAAAAGCTCAAGCCTAGCCTATCGGCTGGCTTTCGTATATACCTCACCCAGTGTCTCCCATCAAATGTCGTCCACAAAGTCCACAGTAAACCCACCACCGCACACAACACACGTCCCAAGCCATCCCGTCCTTCGGTCTATCCAGAGGCGCAAACTCGCGGCCCCTCTCTGCGGTCCAAAGGGCCATTGCGGTCTATCTGAGCGTCGGCAGAGTTCACCACCTCAGCACCCCGTCGGCCTCCCCGAGCCTCCAACTGGGAGCGATCTGCGGACCCACAGTGGTGTCTAATCTGACCAGCCGATGGATGCTTCTCCAAAGCCTCTGTTCAAAAATCAGCACTCCTTTTGCGCATTGACCACAGCATGGTGTTGGGACGATCCGTTCATCTTGCACCAGACATCGCAACTGTTTGTGCTGAACTACGCGCAGGGCTTCGCGGTATGTAGCCAGTTGGTACAGGAAAGGTTTGACAGGTCCGATGAAGGAGAGGTAGCTGTTGGCTCAGTTGCTGCTCAGAGCCAACGTACAAAGGCAGGTGAAAAGAAAGATCTAAAGTGGGGAAGTCTAGTGCCAGTGGCCATTCCTGCAAACCTATATCTGGCTGCTCCTGAAGGGCTTTCCCTACTTTCCCTATAATATGTACATTTCTATGTAACTTAACTAGAAAGGAGCTATATACATAAAATGCCTAACAGCTGGCACCACAACTTGGACCCCAAAGCAAGTTCCAAAACAAAAACAAGTTCCAGGTCGTTGGCCTTTGGGAAAACAAGTTCCCGAATTTGCAAGCACGCCCACGACCCACGAGAACATCGCCACATGAGCACAAGGAACCGTGAAGGAAGAGGTCGCCAACAAGACCAGCACAGCTCCCAAATGCCCGCGGCAGGCCGCGCAATGCAAGGCCTCATGTCGCTTTTCGAACACGGTGGACGGCGAGGTGAGGCCGTGCGCTGTGGAGGGATGGCCCAAGCCAACCATAGCTTTCGCTAAATTCAATGGCCGAGAGTGATAGCATGGTCTTGTAAATGCTGGAGTCTAGAGTTGGGCAAGGTCTGCCCCAGAGAAGCAGCCCCTTCACCTTGACCCTGAGCTTCAGGGAAACTGCCGTTCACCCTCCACGATACCAGCGGATGTCGTTGGTGCAAGTTGCTTTTCGACCGCACCTGGTCATCAACCCCTGACATGCCTTGGCCCATGCCCATGCTACGAATCCCATCTCGAGCTCATCCACACGCGGGAGCGCTCGCGGAGCGAGCTCGTGGGGCGCACCGTCAAGCCGGAGATGTCGTGCGCGTTGGCCTCGGTGAAGTCGCTCCGCTCCAGGATGCCGTGGCAGACCTGGACGGCGGCGGCGGCAGGAAGGCAGTGACGCAGTGGAAGCGACGCAGGAAGTCGTTCCGGTCGAAGTCGCTGCGGTCGATTGCACCTGTAGAAGATGGCATCGGGAATTGGGGGTTCCCTCCTGTTCATTCATCTTTTACCTGCTTGGCAGTAAAAACCAAGAGGAGGGTCAATTGCAGAACTCGGGAGCTGCCCCAATCCGGGTATAACATCCCCCTGGTGCCCAGCCTCCTTCAAACCACACCGGGCTGCATGGTGCAGCACTGTCCAGTCACTGGTATCCTTCGAGTCACGTGTCGCTTGGCCGCCGTACCCCACATGTTCCATTAAACGTCCAACAAAAAGGACCTGAGACCTGAAACCCCAGAAATACAGAAGAGACAGATGGTTTCAGACTCTAAACTTGCCGGCTTGTAACGAGGCTTGAGAGCACACCAGGAGATAGGATGACGGGATAACAAATGACGGCTTCCTACCCACCCACACGCTCGCACGCCAGCACAAGACGGGCAAAACCAGCGGTCCTTCTCATTGAGTCCTGCGTGCAGCAGTGGCACACGGTAGTCACGGTATGTTTTGTCGGGCTGTCAGGTTGATGAAGGAAATCCAGAAATCCACACGAGAACAAGAATATTGTGGCTTGCAGTTGGGTATTATTTTATGAAGAACTCGACCCATCTGTATTAGAAGGTGTTAGTATCTGCACTGGGTTTTGCAAAACCAAAGGTGTACATTAGGAGACCACAGAATCATGCGGTAATTCCAGGCTGAAGATGATGTGCAGCGTTCCGTGAAAAACAGAACTGCTGGAAGAGGAAGTTCCTCCACCACCTCCGTGTATTATAGTCCCTTCTGGACCGGACACCGGTCTTCGAGTGAGGTTTGACCTAGAGTGTCCCCTTTGAAGAAGTCTCTCAGTCTCTTGGAATATGGAATTGGCCTCTGTTGCCAAAAGAATTGATTGATGTGTTACAGCTCACCATCCAAACCAAACTGCCAACAAAAAAGAAAACAGGCCGCCCCAGGCCCCAGGGCCGCCTCTTGGATGGCCCCGAAACTCCGACCGTCGGTCCTGGCAGATTCTCCAAGGTCAAGAGCCCCAAGCAGAAATCCACGTCTCGGTCGTTGATGGCCTTTCGGAGAACCTCGTTTCGGGTCCAGGGCCGTCCCACGAACGTTCGCATGGCGTGGCGTGGGTGAACGTGTGGTCCCAATAAAGACGGTAGAAACGTGTATATGAGTCAGTTGAGAGTAGAGCAAGGTGAGGTGGATTTGAGTATGCTGCGATTCTTGTCCAGCGTGTTTTGTCTGGATGTGAACTTGGTGGCAGATGGAATCCCGGCACGTTTGTCCATTCCAAGACTGTGACGAAAATTGACTGCACAGTTGAACATCATCTCAATCCCCACCAACTCGACCTGATCATGCCAAGCCACAACCGGCAAACGCCAATACAACCCTGCCAAGCCACAAAGTTGGCGGTTCCAAAACGGACGCATCGACCAACTGGAAACGAAACCAAATGCATCGACCAAGGCTTTGTGCCGCACGATCCATCTCTTCGTTCGGCCCGACCGAACGTAGCCGAGGCGCGTAGCCGTCTTTGGGTGGCAGCAAGTCAGCCACCACCGGTTTGAAGGACCTCGGACGAAACGTGCGGATCGGCGCTCCTCCCAAACGACTTTGGATGCCCGAAGTGGAAAACATCAGACTGAGGGCTACTCAACAAATTTGCCGCGGAGTGTGAAAACCGCTTGGCACGAGGGGCAGGCAGGGTTGCCAAAGATGAGCTATGGGAAAAACAGAAATGCCCGTTTGTGGTGGAAGCACAATCTTTGACAAGACCGTAAACACCAAGAATGAGTAGTATTCGGGGTTGGAAGGGAACGTGGTGTGATTCGGATTTCCCCAACACCTGGTTCACAGTTAGAATGTCCATGCTTGTGTTGAATTGTCACAATGTAGTTTCACACATTGGCCATGATTATAGATTTAGAGTAGCCCCTTCTTCGAAGGTCAGTGTCTCAAGCTCTTCTTACCCATATGAAAACAGCACCTTTGCCACTTGCTGGAACAAATGTCATCCTTGGTGAGCTGGCGTCCCACCTGCGATCCCTTCGAACCACTGCTGAAGTGGTAGCTAAGTATATAATAGCTTCCTCCGCTTCGGTAGTAGTTTCCTTCTGCAAAGTCTAAGTCTTTTCAGTCCAAGGCGCTGGATGAGCTGCAGTTCCACTCGCTCGTCGGCCACCGCTGCCTGAGGCGAGGGAAGAACGGCACAGGGAAGATCAAACCACTGGCACACTGGATCAGAGGTGCCCAGTGAGTGATCTTCGGGCCGATCCTCCAAGATGTCACTGGAGAAGAGGTGCTCGGCCCGAAGAGTTGTGTTTGGCGTCTCTTGGCCCATGTTCGCTGGTTTCGGGAGCTGTTCTCTGGTGGGTCGTGTTGATTTGCTGCTGTTCCAAGTCTGGTCTCAGCAGGTGCAGGATGGACACGCCAACAAGAGTCACCCATCAGGTGCTTTGGAACAGGTGTTGATCTCCCCTGCCCTACTGCATACCTTGAGTCAAGGCATGGATGTTTGCCTGTCCCCTCAGCGGCGTCTCTTTTATTTCATGGTCATGGTGCTTGAAGCGCCTTTGGAAAAAACCTGGAAGAATTAAGCTTCGTTGTTATCTGTCAGTCCAAATGTCCCACCGTATGTCACCACGTAATCACAATACTTGACTGCCTCACACACAGTCGGATCAAAACCTCACACGCACTTTCCCTGAACCAAAAAGTGATGTCTGGGACCTAAAGTACCTGAAGCAACAATGTCTGCCTATATATATATATATATACCTAGAACCTGATGAACCCCTGTTTGGGAGCCAAAATATGGTCTTTTCCTATTAAAACAGAGGTCAAATGGGTTCTAGGTATATATATATATATGTTTATATTTGGATGGATTTATGATGTATCTTTGCTTCCGGCTCCACTCAGCTCCAGCTGAGAAAGAATCCACCAAGACACCACCTTGGCACCTTCGGCCAACGGTGCAGCGCCACCACAAAGAAGGTGCTGCCTGAGCCCCCGAAGCAGATCCAATCCGAAGAGTCTCTGTATGTCTCAGGCAAAACACACTCGTGGCTGTGAAAACGTTTCCTTGTTGATCTCATTTCCACCATGTCACAAGCCCGAACTCACCAAAAAGCACCACAAAAAGCCCTTTGAACTATCAGCACCGCTCCTACCAACAAAGCATAAGCATACAGGCTCTTCATTCAAAAGGATCGACAAGAGTCGGCGGCCCAGCTTAATAGACCTTTCCTCCCCCCCAGCCGGCCTGGTCTGTGGGATGTCCGTTAGAGATTGAATCCGGTGCCTGGGCATTGGCAAGACAGCGTTGGAAAACGAAAAAGAACGAAAGGTAATCTTTTCCACAGAATTTACTCGGCATGTTGAAGTTGTGTTTGGTCTTGATCTCAACATGAATGAGGTATCATTAGATGTGCTCCTAGCGTTCTATTGACCTTGAGAGAAACGTGAGGCATTAGATAGCGTTTTGAGTTTTTTTTGCCTCACTGAGGCTGCTCCAGCAAAATTCGTGGAGCAGTTGAATTATCATGTCCTAACTGTTATCCGATCCGAGGCCAGGATCCAGAAGACATTCCAAAGTATGTCCTTGAGATTCACACCCCCAAAGAAAAGAACTAGAAATGGTAAAACCCGACAAAAGAATACAAAAGATATTCTGATCAACCTCATTCTCCCAAAGAAGGGATTCCCAGCCTTCCCCCAACAGAATGACTCAACATCTCACTGTCCGGGGCACTTGAGAAGCTCCACGGTCGTTTCAGTGTCCACATAGAGCTGGCAAAGGAGCTCACCACTCAGCTGGTGAACCAAGACCTCTAACCTGACCCAGTGGCCCAGGCGTTTTTGCTCACACAAAAACATGCACGAATCGTCTTGTAATGTCGAAGCCGTGTGTGGCCATACGAGGCATGGTCGGAGGTGGCCGTGCTCCCAAAGGACATGGGAGTTTTTCTCTTTTTTGATATGTGATCATATCAGAGAGAGAGAGAGAGACAGTCGTATGTCAATGTAAGTTAATTCTGGGTTGGTGCGTGTGTGTGTACATATATATATATATATATTTATATAATAATTATGTACTATATAATATGTCGCAGTGGTCGAACTAACCCAATAGATAAACAATTCTGGTCACACTTTGTGGGTCGTGGGCACTCAAACCACAGACCCGAAGTAACTGCGGATGTCAATGGTGTAAACCGATGATTGTATCTGTCTGGGAGGTGATGAAGCAACATGTGTAAAGGGCAAGCAACCCCGTTGATCCAACATGCTGTAAAGACTTGCCGGAGAACTACAACCAACCCCCATCGCAAGCCAAGAAGCACGCATGTTTGAAACAGTGGCCCCCCAGATCTCAAGCATTGGTAGGTCGAGTTTAAACCTTCTATACTATTCCAGAGATAAAATGCCCATCTTTGAACACTTGTCATTTCACGGAGAGCATTTTGTTTGTTCATGTTTGTTCACTAACAGGCCGCAACCCAGACCGAGAATACCATGGACTCCATGGAAGAGGAGATGTTTCTACAACACAAAAATACAACGCCACCATCCACACCGACCCTACCTTGCCTCTTGGGTTTGTCCTCTGGACTGGCACTTCGTCCAAGCAGGGCAGCCCAACAGCAAGACATGGGACACGCAGCGCACCGGCACTCGCGTCCGAAAAATGGAGAAGAAGTGGTGAGGATCTGACCAGATTGAACCGGTCCGCTGCTGACGAATGGGTGGCGGTTTCAAAAGGCCACAGCAAGAAATGAGGTGGCAAGAGGATGCAACACAATTGTTGCCGGTAGCAGCCTTCGAGGCTTTAAACTATTGAGACAAGCTGTGTAGGACACATGCAAGGAAGTCCGTGAACATGTGTGAACTTCGATCTTTTTGATTGAGCGGCAAAAACTCCTGCAAAGAATACCTAACACTACTGCTCAAGCCGCGAAAGAACAGCTGCAGCAGAGTTACAGCATCAGTGTCAACCGGATTGGAATGTGCTCAACCGTGTAGAAAGTTTCTCTCAAAAACTCAATATCCAACGACCAAGGTCTGCTGAGTCATGCACACGTTGCTCGATGTGTCCATCCCATGGCCATTCTGGCCAAGAAATGGACCCTCAGACTGATCCAAGCTGAAATACGTCGAATAAGTCTTCTGTTTCCAGTTAGAACGGCGCCAATCCGGGTCTCACCAGCGCTGTCACGCCAAAAACACCACCAGTGGCATTCTCACATCCATGCCCATCTGCAAGGCCCATCCCACTTCCCTTTCGACCGAATCGCCACCCGGTGCCACGGGGGCGTCTCCACCTCCAGCGGTGTCTCCGTCGGTCTTCTGGCTGATCTTCCATTCCAGTTCTGAGGAGGAGCTGATCCATGCTCACAAACGAGGAAACCCAAGAAGCAACCTTTGTTACTAGTAGCTTCTTGTTACTAGTAGCGATGGCCTCCAACCTACTTGCGATGGCCTCCACCGAGCATAGCGTCCTTCCACAAAGTTTATGAGGGGCCTAAAACCTGAAATCCAGCTTGGAATGATTGGAGCGGGTGCGAGCCCAGAGTGTCTCTCTCTCTCCCCTCTCTCTCTCTCTCTCTCTCTCTCTGTCAGCCGCCCCAGGTCTCGATGCCAAGAGAAATGTTCAATCCTCAAGAGCTGCTCTGATTGTTTGGGTACCAAATCACCACTCTAGCAGCCGGCACTCTGGCTAAGGATCCTTCCCCTTTCACGCTCATTCCAAGAATATGTGTGTATATGTGTACATAAATATGTACTACTTTGTAGTGAGAAAGGTATACGTATTTTATACATATCAATTTACTATAATTATATATATATATACTTATATTACATCCAAAACCATGGCCTTTGGGCCATATGGTAAGAGTTTGACGTTTGTAGCTCACAGAGTTGGTCACATGATATTCATGGATGGAATGGTCTTAAGTGTGCCGGCAAGTTGGCATTCTCGACAAGCACTGTGGAACAAAGAATAGCTGCTGGATTGTTCCTTCACTTCGCTGTGGGTCAAAACCTGGTTGACCTCCTTTGTTGTCTATTCTGTTCATTGGTCCACCAGATTCTCTCAGATTTTGACCCACTGCCCTTTCACGAGCCTTGAAAATAACAGGCCAGTGAGAAAGCAGGGACCCACCGCCGGCTCCCCACGCCACCTGAAAACCTCCACCGTCCCAGGCGCTTTTGGGAGCAGCTTTGCCCTTGCCGCCTTTCTCCCGGGCCTCGACCAGACACAAGTGCGGTCGAAGGTCGCATGTTCAAGTACTTGCCGCCCGGCCCCACGCCCCTTTAAGTGGGAAAATCCTCAGGCATGCTCCTATAAGGCTTCCCGGACATGTCATGCTTCGGTTGTGGTTTGCCTCGTTGAGCGAAACCATACGAGGACTTGGGGAAACGCCACTCATCAACGCCAAAGGCGAAGCAGCGAAACGGCTTCGCCTCCCTCCCTCGACTAGACTCTAGACCAGCGCAGGATTTTGTATAGTACCTTCGGTGGACTTGGTAGCAACTTTTTCGCATCCTACACTGCGAAAGCGCCCAGGCTCTGTACAAGGCAGCCTTCTTTTGGAGGTGCCTCATATGTATTAATGGTCAGGCAGGCAACATTGCTGCTGGCAGATGTGGGATCGGATAGGTTTAACCTTGTCCCACGGCTCTACTTTTCTATCACTCAGCGGGTCGCTGGCCCGCCGGACCCGCCAAGAGCATCTCCTGTATTAATGGGCTGATAGGCAGCCTCAGCTCCAGCAGGTTGTTTGACACCCTGCATTTTCCAAGCTGTTTGGTAGTAGCCACATGGTTCTTTGGGCCAATTCCAGCAGAAGAATCGCATGCGCACGAAGGTCCACGCCACATGGAACAAAAGGCCAAACGCTGGGACAGCGAGCCAAATCATCAGGCTGGAGCCATGCTTGATGATGGTAAGCCACAAGGCATCAAAGCTCCAGCAAACCACACCCAGCATCATTGATTGCGAAGGCCGCTGCATAATTGAAGGGGTCCAATATAGAAAATCGCGTGTTGCCTCTTGAGGCGTGACACTAAGCCAAACAATGGCACAAGTGGTGTACATCACCGCATGTGCACAACCAATAAGAGAGAACCAACTTAAAGTCACGTGGATCGTGTTGCACGGAACTTCACTGCAGTCGATCCAGTGGGAAGCATCATCATCCTGAATGACCTGGGGCAAGATCGGGCAAAGAAGTGAGAGCAATAGGGGGACCTTGGTGTACCCAGAACCGGACCCTTCCAAATGTTCAACTTCGCAAAATTCAGAGGTCGAACAAAAATCGAGGGACCCCAATGGACTCCAGGTTGGAGGGTTTGAGAGCCGCACTTGGTTATTCTGTAACAAATCAATCCATGAGACTGCTTCTGCTTGTTGTTACAAAGGCCGCAGGTCATTTGTTCTGTGGCCTAGCTCTCGGCTTTCCCAATCCAAAATGACGCATTGAATTGTGGATTGGCTTTAGAGAAGACGATAAGAACGTGAAGATCATCTCATCTCATCAGTCTCACCAGCAAGTAATGATGTTGGGACAGGTCTACCTCGTTGGTCTTCTCCATGGTCAAAATCAAGGCAGCTACAACGCCGATTGTTGTGAAGACTTGGCTCATGTTCTCTCGGATCTTCTCCATCTCCTCTACGCAGAAAGACCACATGGGATGAGTGGTGGCGTTGTTTCATCCAGAGTGAGAGTGACAGTGCGAAGAAAGGCAAGTGTGTGTCTTGTCGAATAGACAGAGCATTCTGTTCTTTTCGGACTTCCTGATCCGCCTGAAGGTCATAGGGGCTAAGCGCCCTAAGTCTGGGTCCTCCCCAACCTCATAAAACTCACCCATCAAGTGCCATCTCTTCCATCATAGTTCTCATTGCACAAGAACAAGCATGTACAGTAAGAATACAAACTACCTTCATACGGGGTCATGAACATACAACACCCAATTGTGATCCACTAGAATCAAACATGCACAACCTGATCCTAGTGATGCAAGGTCCTAAGTCCGTCCTCCTCTTCGGTATGCTCCAAGACATGCTGTAGCACCGTCATGGCTTCGGAATGGCTTCAGTTGGGTCAGCTCTTTTCGAAGCGAAGGGGCAGAAAAAAAGAAACCTCTGAACCACAATCGCTGACTGCATGGTCACTGCAGGGCAATGGTGTAGAATCCGGTGTAGAAGTATATTAAAAACAAAAAGCAAAGCTGCAGGAGCAAAGCTCCTGAATCGAAGCTCTTCGACCCGTGTCCGTGTCCAGGTCCGTCTGTCCGTGTTTCTTCGTGTCCGTGCTCTCCGCCTTGGTCTTGGGCGCGCCCCGATCGGCAAAGGCCACGGTGTACCTCCGGAGCAGGAAAGCGGCGGGAGACCCTGTCAATCCTCTTCGGTCAGGGTGGAGTTCGGTGTTCATCTCATTCCTCCGTGTGCGGGTGCTGGCGGGTGCTCATCACCTGTTCAGCCAGAAGAGAGGTCGTTCGTTCATTTTCCGGTGATACCCACTCGAACGGAGACCCTTCAGATCAACACTCAGAAACTGGAAAGCCATTGCTTTGGTGGGTCCCAAACATCATGAGACTGACCTTTGGGGAGAAGTGAGAATGGTTAGAGACACCCAGGTGATGCGAAAATCCATCTATGAATCAGAATCAATGGAAAATTCACCATATTCCCAACAAGCACCAGAATCCAGTGATGCATGGTGAACCTCAATACCTGGCCCAGCCAGCCGTGGAAATACCGGAGCCCTCAAACCAATCATCCAGAGATGAGCTGTTTGTTTCATCCATGCATAAGCATGCTCAAGCGGACGTCCAAAACCATACCATTCTCCTTTGCAGAAGAACTCCGAACTCGGAGGAAGAAGCACTCCTCGGTGACCAGGCGAACCTGCTGACCCCCCAGTCGGAGTTCCGCCTGCGGCCACCCTGTGGGATCACCGTGAACCTCAAGTGGCCAAGCGACAGGCTGGGCCCTGGTGGCTTTGGAGGAACTCCTAGTCTCTTGTGACCCTCGGTGTCATTCACCCTCAACTACCCCGAAAAAAACGACGGACTTCACCGACTTGATCAAGAAAAAAGACCTCCTGGGGAACTCCCACCGTGGTCCGAATCCGGACTTCGCCTCACCCTCGGGTCACCTCCAGTCCCGCCGGTCCCATCGGGCCGAAGGACCGCAACGTCGCGAGTTCCTGGACAGTGGGTACAGCCCCAAACGAGCTTCCTCCTTTAAGAGTGGCTACGTGGCGTTTCACGGCTGAGTTCCTCGTTCTCCGCATCCCCCATCGTGGTCCAGTGACTTGTCCGGATGCGACTCCAGGAAATCCCGGAGCTGGCCCAACCTCAGCGACCGGACATGGTTTCGCCCAGCAGACGTCCATTGTTCCGCCCCGCGGACATGACTTCGAACCAACACACAGGTTTATCGGCGCATGTGGCTTTCGGAAGTTCGAGCAGTCACCCACATTGGCCCCCTTGCTCTGACGTCTTCCACTGGGATAGGCTAGGACATCCTTCTCAAAGATGATCTTGATCCCTTTGCTTCCTGCTACCATTTTCACCTGGTCCTCCCTCCAGTGTGGTGTCGGTATCGTTCTCAAAAAGCACTGCTGAGTCCTCGCACTTCGCTTGGAAGCGTCCAGGCCAATTCGTAATCCAAACACGTCCAGCATTGCTGAGGACGGCCGGAGGGCAGCATAGGAAGAGGGGGATCAAACAGACAAGGAGTGGGGTTGAGAGGTGAATCAGATTCTCAGAGGTGAATCCATCTCAGCAGGTGAGGAGCAGGTGAGGCCAATTGAGGTCCCTCTAAACTGAGTTGCAAATGGAGCCAAGCCTCAAGACAGACCCGTGTGAAGACTGTGAAGAGATCCAAAGCACTTTGGCCATAGCACAGTTGAAAGTCACACGTCACACCATGAAATGGATCAAGGGCAACAAACACGAACCAAAAACAATCTTCAAAATTCAATAAACCACACTCCGCACCCAGGACTTTGCCTCTCGTCAAGCAACTGGTCGACCACCTGGTCAAATCAAGAAACGGCCAATTCTCAAAAATATTTCGTGGCAAAAAAAATGAAGCATAGGAGCAAAGGGCATTGCTACTAGGAGCAAGGACGCTACTAGGGGCTCCTGGCCTTACTACTAGGAGCAGGGACGCTACTAGGAACAAAGGGCATCGCTACTAGGAGCAACAGTCAACCGCCTCAGCAAGAAGGTTAGCTAAGGTTGCGAAAAGCTGGGGGGACAGTAGTGGCTCTGGAAGTGCCTGCTTTTCTTGTCAACAATTTCAGCCCCCTATATCAAACAAGACGGAGCCCACGAACCCGAATGCAAACACGAACGAAAAGCTACATATGTCCAAATGACACTCTTGTAGGACACTCTTGTGGGACACTCTTGTGGGTCACTCTTGTGGGAAACTCTTGTGGGACACTCTTACGGACACTCTTGTGGGACACTCTTGTGGGACACTCTTCTGGGACACTCTTGTGGGACACTCTTCTGGGACACTCTTGTGGGACACTCTTGTGGGAACTCTTGTGGGACCTTGTAGGACACTCTTGCGGGTCACTCGTGTAGGAAACTCTGGCGGGGCACTCTTTTAGGACACTCTTGTGGGTCACTCGTGTAGGAAACTCTTGTGGGACATTCTTATAGGACACTCTGGTGGGAACTCTTGTAGGACACTCTTTTGGGACACTCTTTTTGGACACTCTTGTGGGACACTCTTGTGGGAATCTCTGGCGGGACACTCTTGTGGGACACTCTTCTGGGACACTCTTGTGGGACACTCTATCTGGGACACTCTTGTGGGACACTCTATCTGGGACACTCTTGTGGGACACTCTTGTGAGACACTCTTGTGAGACACTCTTGCGGGACACTCTTGTGAGACACTCTTGTGAGACACTCTCGTAGGGCACTCTTGTGAGACACTCTTGTAGGACACTCTTGTGGGACACTCTTGTGGGACACTCTTGTAGGACACTCTTGTGGGACACTGTTGCGGGACACTCTTGTGGGACACTCTTGTGGGACACTCATACGGGACACTCTTGTGGGACACTCTATCTGGGACACTCTATCTGGGACACTCTTGTGGGACACTCTTGTGAGACACTCTTGTAGAACACTCTTGTGGGACACTCTTGTGGGACACTCTTGTAGGACACTCTTGTGGGACAGTCTTGTAGGACACTCTTCTGGGTCACTCTTGTAGGAAGCTCTTGCGGGGCACTCTTTTGGGACACTCTTGATGCCACCAATCATCCCGCTCACCAGCGACACGCCGCGTTTACACCAGCATGTTTCGCGCTCCCCAGTGGCACGGCGCCACGCAAACACACTTCCCACCAAGGCCACGCAAATCCCAATGGCGCTGCAACATCACGAACCGTCGTGTCGCCACACGGTCTGCCCATACACTAGAAGCAAACATGTCACATGATACCACAAATCATCCTGCTCACCAGCGACACGCGACGTTTACACCAGCCTGTTTTGCGCTCCCCAGTGGCACGGCGCCAAGCAAACGCACTTTCCACCAAGGCCGCGCAAATCACAATGGCACTGCGACATCACGAACGTCGTGTCCCCACACGGTGTGCCCACACACTAGAAGCAAACATATCACATTTACCACATATCATCCCGCTCGCCAGCGACACGCTGCGTTTACACCAGCATGTTTCGCGCTCCCCAGTGGCACGGCGCCACGCAAAAACACACTTCCCACCAAGGCCGCGCAAATCCCAATGGCACTGCAACATCACGAACATAATTTCGCCACATGGTCTGCCCATACACTAGAAGCAAACATATGCAAGACGAGCGTTTCGTACGAGACTTTGGGCCAAAAGTCACACGTCAAGTTTCCAAAACAAGCGTTTCGTACGAGACTTCCTCAAAAAGTCACACGTCAAGTCTCCAAAACGAGCGTTTCGTACGAGACTTCCTCAAAAACTCACATGTCAAAGTCTGCAAAACGAGCGTTTCGTACGAGACCTCCTCCAAAAGTCAAGCGGAAACACCCATCGGAGCACACACATCACGCAGCCCTGCCAAGCAGTTTCGCGATTCCAGCCCCTCCAAACAACACCCGCCCACACGCCAATCCCAATGTCACAGCGACATTCACCTCTACCAAAACTCACAACCTCACGATTCCCTGCGCCTGCCACAAATCTTTCCGCGTCCACACGTCTAACGCGCACAAAGCACTGCGCCTGCCACGAAATGTCACCCCCATCACACCTCGCAACCTCACGATTCCTGTGCCTGCCATGAAAATTGCACTTCCTCACCTCAAAGCCCGCACAAAGTACTGCGCCTGCCACGAAAAGTGACAATATCATACCATGTGAGCTTGAACAAAATTTCCACCGCACCACACGTTTGGAATGATTTCGACACGTTCTGAGCACACTCCCATCCATCAAAATCACCATTTCAGGTGAGACTTGTCACGAAAACACAGCTTGGATGCAACACCCTGAAACGCAAATCCCAATGTCACAGCCACATCCAACACCCCAAAAACACAACCCTCCAAACGCCAATCCCAATGTGACTGCGCAGACAACTGCCCATCTCACAAAACGCTACACCTGCGCAGTGAAATCACCTTCCCCACTTCAACATCATACATTTCCACATGTTTCCACGCTATTTCACAAGAATCTGACACGTAACGTTTCCATCCGAAACCCTCTCCAAAAGCTTCCCCCAATGGCAGTGCCTTAGCGCCCTACCGCGGTCACTTGCGAACGGTTGCGAACGGTTGTGGACGGTTGCGAACGCTGAGACAACGGGTGGCGAACAAGGCTCTACCCCCAGACCCCCAGAGTTAAACGAGAACCCTTCGCTACGCATTCGGGAAAAAAAGAACCTTTGTGTCTTCCAAGGCAGGAATTGTCCCAAGGGTTCCAACCTGTTCCAACTGACATCCCTGAAACACTACCTCTAATATCTGAAGTTTCTTACTCTTCACCCTGCCCTTGTAGAGCGCAAGGGCAAACCCGTTCCCGTTCAAAATCGTTCTGATGTCCATCCGCACCCGATCGCAAACCAGATCAACGGATGGATTGGGTCAAACCAATGCAGCGCTCATTCAATGCGCCTGACTTCAGACTTCCGCTTTCTTCCACGGGTACGGAGACACAAGCACGCTTGATTCTCCACAGCCCAAAACATGCCCAAAACATGGGGTTCTCTGTCGCCAGATGCGCTGGAGGGTCCAAATCTTGCGTAAGAATGTGCACCAACACCAACATCTCCTTCAAGTGTGGCTTTTCCACGGGGTGATCCAACTGAAAGGCCTTTAAAATGGAAAAACCGCATCAACCTCTCGACTACCAATGCATGCCACCCGTAGAATGAAGTTTATGGCGTGTTCATGTATGTTCCAAGTCTCCGGGGAATATCCATCGAGTTCCATGAAAACCTCTGCATCTCCTTGTGACGTTGACGAATTGGGTGTAAACGCCAGTCTGGAGTGCCCCTGAGTCCCTGAACTAAACCTGCAACACTACGATGATAAGAGATGAGAGACCACAATGAATATCAATGCGTTTACCTTACCCACCTGAAGAAACAAATAGCTATTACGACAACCAGTTCAAGGTCGTGCCCTCGTGGCGCCGTGCGTTTTCGGTCCAAACGCCCCATCTCGTTTCACAGAGACCCTCCGGACATCTTCCAATGAGGACTTTTGCCTCGAACTAAAACGCCACAGCGTGCAGCCTTGGGCCGGGTGCCTAACATCTGGGCCGGGCAGAGGGTAGAGCTTCGTTTTTATGCCGTCTCATCCAAGGAATGGTCCGGGCCAAGGGCCTTCTGCTTCACTTGCATTTCAAGACACACCTATTTGGGTTGCACTCTAATCCCACTGCATGTGGAAGGAGAAGACACCCTTCGATCTCACACCCCTCCACAGTCTCCGGTCGGTCTCAGCTCTGCCCAAGAAAGGATCAGCTCAGCCCGCTAGGCACTGGGCTACCCCCGACAAGCTCGTTCAGAACCACACAGAAACCAAAAGAGCCGTTGTGTTTGAACTCCGTCGGAGGGAAGCTCCAGCTCAGAATCCCCTGCCTGCAAACAGCAGTGCGGGTCATGCATTCCCTTGTGTACAAAGCAATTCCCATACGAGCTACAGGCAAGCATCATTCATTCATTGACAATGCCAAAAAGAGTGGTCCCGATCCCTACCCAAACAAATTGGTCACTATCAACCGCATGGCTCTTTCTTCTGAACCTCACTGCCTGTAGATCAGGGTCCCTTTGGTGGCCGCGTCTCGTTCTGGCCAACCACGGCCCACGTGTCGCGGATCGCTGGAAAACGGATGTTCGCCACTCGCTGCGGGAGAAAAACGCAGCCGGCTTCGACGAAATGGGCCAATCTCAAGGCTTTCTGAGAGTTGAAGTGATCAAACCAATGAGGGGTGAAACTCCACGAAGAGGATGCGTTTAGCTTCTTCCCTCTGTTCCAAAATGTGTCAAAACCGGGAGGAAGTGAAAAACTGATTGCGGGGGCTCGTTTCTGGCCGTTTCTCCACCCAAAAAGCCCTGGTCTCCACTCGCCAAGACCTCTCTTCAGAGCGTCTCACAAACTCTGATGCCCGGGACTGGCTTCCTCCTTCAGCCTCAGTAAAACAGACAGTCTGGTCAATTAGTCCAAGGATTGATGGCCAGAAGCTGCTGCTAGTTCCATTTGGAACATGGCCAGGAGGCCATGTTCAATAAGCATGAGACAGACCGACCGGCCGGAGGCCATGGTCAACTGATATCAACTAAATGAACCACGAGCTGGAAGGCCAACAGAAGAAACTACATGAAACTACTGTCAAAAATGAAGTGGCGCATTATTGAGTGAATAACGCTCAGACTACAGATGGAAACGGATGCTTCCGGAGAGGTCCCAACATCTTGTCATCCGCAACCGGCCCTTTGAAACCTCCGCCAAGGCTCTCTTTGACGCTCTCATCCGGGGCCGACTCACAAAGGTGGCTGACGCTGGCATCCACCTGGCGCCCAGCTCGCTGCATCAAACGGCTACGCCAATGTAAGGCTGTGCAGCACTGGCATCGCGCCGTCCGTCGACGGGTTTAGAAAAACAAGGGAAGATCACCTGAAAGGGTGAAGTCATGCGCTACCCCATGTCACCGGCTGTTCGTCCATGGTGACGTCTGCCCGCTGAGAATCTGAAATAAAGTAAACAAGGAGGAACATCTGTTCGCCCAGCAACATTTGGCGTCCTAGCCACGCTAATCCTTGAGGACACCGCTTGCATGCTGCAGGGCCTCCGACAACATCTCCATCATTTCGCCCATCCTCAAAATCCGATCAAGCACCAAATCACCAGACCCCACCTCCCACCCTGCGCCCTGTCGGGGGGAACGGTGTCGAACGCCCCTGAGAAGCCCCAAACAGTTCTGCCAGCGGTGCCGGTGTGGGGCTCGCTCAGTGGGTCATCCCCCACAAAAATGGTCCGTCTGCGCCTCCGTTCTTCGGGGACTTTCGGTTCTTCGGGCCGCACCAAACGGACCAAACAGAGGTCTGCCGGGCGGCTCTTCGTCGATCTCTTGCAAATCGGAGGAACTTTGTCCTGCAAGCCTCGCAGGTTGGGAAGCACAGCCAGTCGAGCCGAGCCAGTCGAGCCAAGCCTAGCTCAAGGGGAAACAGCTCGAGCCAGCTGGGTGCTTGACATCAAGGTTGACTGGGAAAAAGGACATGTATGTCAGGCCCTCAAGCGATCCTAAACTTCCACTTCAAGAATACCCAGAAATACCTAGCGTTGACCAGCCTTGAGCCAGTGCGCGTCAAGGACAGTTGTACCTGGCTTTTGCAAGCTTGCGCTGTGTGAAAACCATAGTTCATTCAGTCAATGGCTTGCACTACGCTCCCTTTTCCTTTCGCTTGAACTCCAGTCAAAGGCTTTCTGCCAATTGCATTGGTATCCATGCATCAGCATGGACCTGATTCTCAGGTGTAGGATCTTCCTCACGTTTCACGTGTGGGGACCCTTCTGGGCATATCTTCATCCAACTTGGTGAATCGTCTACCGACAGGGGAGTCGATGACGGACTATACAGGGTGGGAGTCGTGGGACAAAAGCTGAGCAGAGAGGTTCCCTCTTAGAGTTCCACAAAGCTATTTTGGCTAAAGCTAGCCTTGAGCCAAAATGTAACCATTAAGCTTGTGCAAAGACCATGTGCTGAATGAATAGCCTACACCAAGCCTGCCCTAAGCACAAGCTGCTGAGCAAGTTGGGCCGAGCGCTGCAGAAGAAGAACCTGGAGGTGATGAATATGTTCCAGGTGCGGACCTTGGCCAATCAGCGCGTCGCTACCTCCAAGCGGAGGAAGGTTGCGCCATGGTTTGGGTCGGGGAAGCCGCCGATGAGGAGCAGGCTGCGCAGGAGGATTGTTCATCCTACCTGCATGGAGTGCCTGTTCGTCTACATGGTCGCGTTGGCGATGGGAGGGGCCGGCCCCATTCTCCCAGCGCCGACCGAGGCAGAGTCGCTCGCCACTCTCTCTCATGATTATTTTGAGTTCCCACTGGACTTGGCCTGGAAATACCATTTTCGGGCCGTGGAGGCCAGCAAGAAGATTGGTGAGCGCATGAAGCTCCCGCACATCTCCTCCCTGGATCTGAATGAGAGGGCTGCTTGGTGCCAGAAGTATTCCACCGGCACAGAGAAGCTTGGGGCGATTGTTTATTTCTTTCGCATCTTCATGGAGAGGGATGTGCATTGGTCAGCGGTGACCATTTACCCTCAAGGAGCATCGGCCAGTGGGCCGCCGCCCGAACCGGCGGGCAATCCACCAGCTGCCCGAGGAGGTGAAAAGAAGGCTGCTGGGAAGCTTTCGACCACTTTCCGCGATGGAACAAAGCTATGTGGTCCGTGGCAGCATGGGCGCTGTGATCGACAACATGATGCTCGGCGCCCGAATGGTGAGCATCGTTGCGCCCACAAGCTGAAGAGCGGGCGCATCTGCGGTGATCCGTATCACCAAGGAAGCAGGTGCAACAACAAGCAGAAGCTCTAGAGGGGGAAGTATAGTTTCACTGCCGGAGAATCCGGACCCTTCCAGCACCTCAGGCGCTTTGGAAGAATTCCACCAGCATGTTGCCGCTATCCAGAATGGATGGTCTCAGGTTGAGACAATGGATGATGATCAGCCTCAGGCCCCTGTCTTTTTGGATTTGCTGTCCGGACCGCATTTCCCGCTTGCGCAGGCGTTTGAGTGGGCAGGTTGGAAAATTGTTCACCCCATCGACATTCTCATTGCGACAGTGAATTTGATCTAGTCAAGCCTTCTGTACAGAAAGCCATCAATACAATACTGCCTCAGTGCCACCTTGTGAGTGCCGCCATCGATTGTTCCACCAAGAGTCGAATTCGTGAGATCAAGCTGCCAGGAACGAATGCTCCGAAGCCTCTGAGGACCGAGAAGTTTCCTCGAGGGCTACCCACCTTGACAGGTGCCAGCAAGGACCGGGTGGAGAAAGACAATGGGGTCAGTGACTATCTGTTGGCGATCCAACATGTGATCAACCTGCATGAGCGGGGAGCTTTTCGGGAGAATCCCAAGAGGAGTCTTCACTGGGTTGACCCAGTGGAAGTTCACATGCACCAAGATGGACGTTGGTCCGATTTTTACTACGACAACTGTTGCTTTCTAGCTGCCAGGAAGAAGGCCCAAACCATCCGTCACAACATTCCCGAGCTGAGGTCATTACCCAATTTGGTGTGCGCCCACATGCACAACGAAGACGATTGGCGACCATACAGGTTCGAGGGGAGGACCAAGTACCCTAGCACTGAAGAGGCAGAGTATCCTGCTGCCCTTGTTTTCACCTTTGCATGCACATTTTGGGCAGCCAACCAAGGCTATGCAATCATCAAGATTCCCCATTTGCCCCCAGTCGAATGTTCAGGTGATCGTAGGTGTTGGACAGCCTGGGAGGCCTCCACCTTTCGGCAAGACGCCATGGTCCCAATGGCCATCTCGCTAGGACTCAAGCCGTCTAGTGCCCCCGGTACGCCGTTGCGAGGTCATGTCTCCGATTTCTTCGAGCAGCGCCGGGCTCCAGTCAGGAGTAGTGCGCGCAGGCCACGGACACTTTCGTCACCGGCTCAGTCCTACGAAGTGGGAGAACCCATTTGTGGAAGGGCGAGATGGGACTCATGTTGACACCATATTCAAGTATTGCAGCTTGGTGGAGCACTCGATGAGCTCACTGGCAAGACGATATAGTCTGTGACTGTCCAGCCAATTCATGTTGTCACGTGGATGTCATCATCGCCAAGTGGTTCGATCGACCTCATCGGCCACGGAAGTCTCGCAAGTCCTCAGGTACCCCCTCTAGAGCGATCATGTTAGCAGGGATCCGACTTGTCCGAGCAGTTCCCCAAGCCTTCAGTCAAGCGGCTGCCATGGCGGCAATCAAGAGTCAGTTTCCCATGTTGCATTTCCAAGGAGTCAAATGGCCCTTATTAGAAGACCTGATGAACTGTCCAGCTTTCCTTTCCTTCCATCAGTGGGCTCATGAAGGTAACTACGCAGCCGACGGTTGGTCTTTCAAGCATTGATCAGTTTTCCAGAGTCCTTTAATTAAGCACAACACATGTGTCTGGTGGATAGATAACATCGCCTCATTGATGTCATTGGTGAGAGGCCGATCAGATTCGCCAGACCTGGGTCGACTGGCGCAGATGATCCACATGTTATTGTTCAGCCTCCATTGCAGCATGTGGTTCGAATGGGCCCAATCAAAGTCCAATTGGACGGACGGTATATCTAGAGAAGGCTTCGCAGATCCGTTCATTCACGAATTTGGTTTCACTTGTCATCAAGTTGCAGCCCCGCATCTGCTTTGGCAGCTTCCGCTCCTTCCCCTTAGTATTGCTTTCTTTAAGTGCATTGGGCCTTGGCGCACACGTGAAACGTGAGGAAGATCCTACACCTGAGAATCAGGTCCATGCTGATGCATGGATACCAATGCAATTGGCAGAAAGCCTTTGACTGGAGTTCAAGCGAAAGGAAAAGGGACTGAATGTAGGTGCCTATAATCACTTGGCTGCTGTTCGGGAGGCGGCAACCAATGGTAGCGCTTCCAAAACACCTCCTTCATGGAGGAAAGGGTGCTGGCTGGAAGGCACTCATCCTCCTCAAGAGGAACACCCTCCACTTGGCTCGCATCACGAGCCTTCTCAGCCTGCACAATCGAGGACCAGGCGCGCTTCACACGCGCAGCTTGCAGCCGCGGCTTGTCCTGCCCGGTAATCGGGGTGACAAAAGTCTTCACCACATCTTCTTCATTGGAGCAGTAAAAACGAAATTCGGAAAGCGACGTCACACCGGACGCAAGAATCTCCCTTGCGATGGCTTCATCATAGTCGAATCTATCCTGGAGCTCCTTGAAAACAGCTTCAGGGGTCGACATGGCTGGTGCTAAAAGCAATTGGGACACTGCAGATAGCTTGACACAGAGAAGGCTGAAAAACAAGAAGAGCAGCTCACCGAATCAAAACTGCTGCAAAAATCACATCCGTTCTCAACTGACATCTCTCGGGACATTCAGTCTGTGAACGGCGTTCTCCACCAGTCTTTTCATACTCCTGGCGACGCACACCATGGGCGGTCCCAGTGCCCCAGGACTTCAGGCGCCTCATACCCTGTGAATTGCCCCTGCACGATACCGGAGTCTACCCTACCTACGTACTCAGGCAGGTCATCAAGCAGCTCAACTTCCGGTAGTGCGGCAAAAAGGCTACCGCAAGCCTCCACGCCGCCCCCCCAGTGCTGCTTGGAACTGCAACCCTGACATCGCGTCCAGGTTCAAGGCCCAGGCAACCAAGTACCCGTGAGAGGAGCTTTGATCGAGCCTCCACCGTTCTGCAGGCAAAGGAGATAGTCTTTTTCACAGCCTCGCAGGCCGATGAGATTCACTTTCAGAAGGCGAATTCGTTGATGCAAAGATTTTTCACGATTCGAGGTCGAGGCTTCAAGGCCATGCAACAGCTGTCGAAGAAACAGCGAGAAGTCCAGGCTGCAGAGAACCCGCCCGCTGACGCAGAAAGCGCCGGTGTTGCTGTGGGGAGTCCACCGACTGACGACAGAGGAGCCGGTGCCGGTGCTGGAGCCAGGCGATGATGCGTACTTCGATGAACTCGCCGCCAAAAGGTGGAGGAGGCCTGGCCATGGAGACCGCCCTGACTGAGCCACCGACAGTGGTGTACCGGCGCAACGGGTCTGGGAGCGGCCCTTTTATTCTGCTTGGGGGAGTCCCAGATAATGTTCAGTTGGTTGTCACCTGCTTCAAAAAGGCAGCAACATCGAAAGGGCAAAGTTCCCCCCTGGCTGCTTGATTCGCCAGTTCGCTGTGTCCGATGAGAGGATTCACAACCAGCTGTGGACTCAGCTCTGGAGCATGGAGGTTCCATCTACATCCATTGTATGGCAGGCGTGCACCGAGGACCGGTGGGAACAGGGATGATCCTCAGCACCCTGAAAGGGCAGTCGTTGGATGAGTCCATGAAGCATTTGGCCTCCGTCAGGGCCATTGAGCCCCACAAGATGTTGGGCGATCGCTACAGGAAGTTCACCAAGTGGGTGCATGATCGCGCCGAAGGTGAGTCCTTGCCCGAGAATTTCGCGGCGATTCCGCTGAGGTTCATTTCAGCTGAAGCGGACAAGTCCTTGTGGCACGTGGTGCCCGTCGATTTCAACTCAGATGCGCCCAAGCCGTTTGCCAGTGGAAGAAACGGGAGACATTCTTTAAGAGCAACGTCTGCTTTACAGACTCTGTGCAGGAGGCATTAGTGCACGAGAGTCCCTTTTGCCGCAATTGCGCACAATTCATGCCAGCAGGAGCACTCGGCATTTTGGAAGAGTCAGCTGTCGCCTGGCGCACGCCCCGCTGACCGTCCCGTCGCCCGAGGAAAACAGGTGCGAGTTCTGAGGTCCGGACTGTGAGAGACCTGCTGCGCCAATGCTTTTGCATCGCTAAAAGTGTTTTCTTTTGCGTTTAGCCCTCAGTGTTCAAGATGGCTAATCCCACTGCCATGTCGATCCAGCGGCTGCTGTTGCTGCAGTACCCCATTCGTGAAGCACCTTTTCCCCCATCTTTAACTTTGTGGATCATGTTTGGCCAGATCAGCCTTCTGTACGAGTTCGTTGATTCGTTTCCAGTTGAAGTACACCGGTTGGGACCCTCGTGGATAGTTTTCCTCTCCGAGCTGAAAGGTATTATTTGGGAGATGCTGAATGGGTTCTCGGTTGGACGGCGCTTGGTCCACGATGGTAGCCACGTAGAGCTTGTCAATTGCGCCCAAGATCGTCCCACTTGAGAACCTTCTCGGCCAGCTGGGTGAGGGACACCATGGCAAACATGAAAGCATGCTTCGCCTGCAGCACCAAAAACTGCTTGGCTCCAGTATAGCACAATGGCATCTGGCTGCGCTGGGCATCCGCCGGCTTGTCCACCCAGTTCCGCAGGCCACAGTGGTGGCGGGGAACCTCACCCAACATAGCCCATGCGATCGACCTCTGCCGCCAAGACTTGCTGGACAGCATGGCGAGCTCACCATCGGGGACCACGGAAGTCACTGAAAGGCCACGTTGCCTCCCAGGAGGCACCAGGGGCTGTTAAAGGTAATCCTGACCAGGGAGGCAGGAAAGGACCATGCACCAGGGAGGCACCACAGAGGCAGGAAAGGACCATTGAGGCACCAGGGATGCAGGAAAGCCTGGGAGGCACCAGGGAGGCAGGATAGGACTAATTGGACAGCCTGCGAGGAGGCAGGAAAGGACTAATTGGGCAGCCTGGGAGGCAGGAAAGGACTAATTGGACAGCCTGCAAGGCACCAGGGGCACCAGGGAGGCAGGAAAGGACCTTTTGGACAGCCTGGGAGGCACCAGGGAGGCTCCAGAGGGCTCCTTCAGAGATGGTGGTTTCTCCACCTGTCGCACAACACGCGGTGCTGAGGTCGGTTTCACCTTGATAGATGGTGCAGGTCGCTTAACCTGAGGGGCCGGCGGGTTTGGCTTCGCCTCCCGAGCCAACATGGCTTGGACAACCATGTCCACTCCGCCTTCGGCTTGCTGCCGAGCTTGTTGCCAGGCAAAGGCAATGAGGTCACCCACCTCCTGCTTGGCCTCTTCAAACGAACTGAAGAAAAAATGCAAAATCACCATCATCTGTGACTCCGCTTGTGACTCCATTTATCTCACGCCAAGCCTGCACCACTGACTGGTCGTCCATGACCGACACACAAAAGCTGAGCAGAGAGGTTCCCTCTTAGAGTTTCACTCCACAAAGCTATTTTGGCTAAAGCTAGCCTTGAGCCAAAATGTAATCATTAAACTTGCGCAAAGACCATGTGCTGAATGAGCCAAAATGTAATCATTAAACTTGCGCAAAGACCATGTGCTGAATGAACAGCCTACACCAAGCCTGCCCCAAGCACTATAGGCACCTAAGACAAGCAATATTAATATCATGAATCATTACAATCAAATTGACCATGTCCATCACATATTATTGTATATGTATTTTGACATGAATGCGCAATACATGTAACATTACATTCTTCTGTTAACTGACAATGTATAGTCAAAATAATCTGGCGTCTGGCGTGGAGTGCTTGATCAACAAGAACTGCACCATATCACAACAGCTCATGGACATCCCAAGCTCCCACACTGCACACATCCAAACGGAACCCCCCCTGCAGCTCTCCATTTCCCCTGAAGAGATGTCGCAGATCTCGGGGCACTTCTTTGATCTTTTCGTTCAGCCGCTGTTGCTCGTAACGCTTCAACTTTTCCTTCAGCACAGACCTGGTGGAGATCTCTCCGGCCCAATAAGACACCGCGACGGACGCGTTCAGGACGCGGTTGTTCTTGGGCTGAAGAGGTTGGTGGAGGAACAGTGAAGGGAGTAGTCCGGCTCATTTTTAGAGAAAAGTGTTTCCAGTCCTGGAAGTATTCGATGAAACCCAATCAACTGACATCAGCTGCTGCTACCTTTTCTCCGAATCGATTTAGGTCTGTACTGTCTGCTTTGGTTTGAAAAGCGACCCACGTCGCATGTGGGAGCACTCCATCCGTGTAATGTGACCGAGAGGATACCGCAGGGGCGGTCCTACGGCCACTACGGATGACAGCTCTAGACAGAGCTCTGAAGGAAATGATTAAATTCGAATTGAATCCAGCCACCCTCAATATCTGGTACAGTCTGGGCAGGTATGATGGCTGGGCGGCAGTCAGCCGAAAGGAAAGCAGACTGGACAGCATCGGCAGACAGCGCAAGTCACAGTCAGGGCGGTCAGCCACGCCCAGCCCAACAAGCATAGTCCCTTCCACGCGAGAAACGAAAACCATAGAATGGCCGTCAAGCCGTCAGCACAGGCTCTTAGTGATCAGACTGATGCCAGCTAATCAAAAACTCCACAGGCGCCATGCCGAGTCAGTCGCCCGCTAGTCCAGCGTCTGGGGGACATGGAAGCAGCAAACAAGAGGGCGTGGCAGGGTGGGAGAAAAATCTAACCTGAGGTACCAGCAGTGACTCTGCTCCTCGGGGGAGTCTCCCCAGTTTGGCTTGAGCATTCAAACATCGTTGACTTGATGCTTCCCAAATAATTCTTCATCACCGACCCTGCCTACCTTGAATGATTGAATATATTCGATGAAACCCAATCAACTGACATCAGCTGCTGCTACCTTTTCTCCAAATCGATTTAGGTCTGTACTGTCTGTACTTGAGTGCTTTGGTTTGAAAAGCGACCCACGTCGCATGTGTCATCTGACATCTGACACTCTCCCTGTGGGAGCACTCCATCCAAGGCACAAACGTATCCAAAGCACTTAGACATACTGAACCCATTCAAAAAGTAGCAAGCACTACGGAGTGCAAAGAGCAAACCATGTATGGCTCCGGCCATGGAATCCAACTCTTCATTGTTGCTCCGCCCCCCGAATGAGGGACATAAGGGCTGCAATGTTGTCGACGAACCACATACCATGCATCCCTCTAGTAGACGAAGCATTGTATGCTAGCCCCATGTAAACTGTCAACAACTCCAGTTGTGCAATTTTGGTTTCATGGTGGGACCAAACGTCAAAGATCTCAGGACGAATATGGACAACATAGGCTCGACGACGGCCTTGAGGATCGATGAACAGGACCCCAGGAGACGCAGCATCCGAAGCTGCCAAGTACCGGCGCTGCCGCACTGGGCTGAAAGTTCACGTTCAGGCTTCGTTTGAAGCAGTGCACGGATACGGTTGAAGGACTGGTAAAGCTCATCAGTCATCTGAACCTGAGAAGAGTACTGCCGCTCCTTGATACTATGGAGTCCTGATCGTCCAAGTTTGCCGAAGCAACCTGTAGTCAGGAAACCGAGGCATCCAAAGAGTTTCGCTGCAAGACCCGGCGGGAGTGAGTTTGGGCAGCCTCATCCATGATATCGGTGACCTTAGTGACCAGTCTGTCACGGGCCCAAAATTTGACTGGGGCACCTTGGTGGCATCCGGCCACATCGTGAATCAAGCCCAAAAAGTCGGATTGGGCAGCCAGGGACTGGTGTTTCTCTGCTTGGAAGGGTGAACGCAGGCAATTCGCCAGCTCATTGACAAAAGCTGGCCAGCGCCTCCCATGATATCAAAGTCCTGGACGGTCAGGTCGTCAACGTGCATACTGGTCACGCAGTAGGCCAAGCGGCGACAGGCTGCCTGAAAGAATCGAGGGAATCGATTGAACGAGCACCCAGCATTGGGAAGGCCGAACAGTGAGCCACAGTAGCGTCGAAACCTGGGGGCTCCAGTATGTGGTCATAGTATGCCACGATGGCCATGTTGCTGTGGTCAGGCCGCATATAGGACGTGTCTGTAGGCGTTGGGTAGGTCTTCACCCCCCGACCAAATGCCGGCTTGAAGGAGTTCTTCCCGGCGCGTGGATGAGGATGCGGCTTGCCATAGAAGTTGAACATGTAGTCCAGGTTGAATAATGCTTGCGCAAAGGTCGAGCTTATTTGCATCAGAACTGAGGGCACTCTGGCCGCCATCAGCAGCATCGTCAATCACACGAAGCTTGCCGGAGGGCTGCTTGATACAAAATCGCCGGATCAGTCGAAACTTGGGAAACTCTTGGCAAAGTTGTTGGGCCATGTCAAAGGGGGACCACAGAAACCTTTTGCCTGGTCTTCTTCCCCGGCTTGGACAATAGCCTCGTCATGCTCACTGGGACGAAGGCTACGAATGATGCGAGCAGCATCCTGTTGGGCGTCCTCGTAGATGGACTCGGCACTTACATAGTGCGCAGGCTGCGCCTTGTAGATGGGGACGTGAGGTGAAAATCCCACAGCCGAGAACCCATAAATCAAACTTGCAACAAACGTTGTGTCCGGCCAGCCAATGAAAAGCATGGTCAAACCGATGAGTGCGATGTGGCGCCCATGCGTAGCTGAGCGGATGCTGGGAGCTTGGTAGGACTGTAGGTGGTGAGTGACAGGCCACATCCTGCGGCTCAACTCTTGAAGCCAGCGTCCAGTGCGCCGTCGTGCATCCCGAAGTTTGACCCCCCCGGGCGCTGCGAAGATCAGGTCATCATCTACAACACCCATATCTTCAAATGGGGTGGGCCGCAGCTGGAGTTCGAGGGCGAGCTCGAAGTGCCTGTCTTCCCCTACACCGAAGGGAATCATAGGAGGCAAGGCCTGCGCGGCAGCAGCCGCACCGGACTGCTGAAGGCCGCTCATGGCAATAGCGATGCGCTCCAACGGGCCCACCAACCGTGGACCGAAGGAATGGCCGTCCCAGTCAGGGCGGTTCTGCATGTAGTTGAACCATTGAAAAGGTGAGTCATCAACAAGGAGGTCCTCGATCATGGGCCATTTGAAACCGTCCTAATTGACCTCCGCGCAGAGGGCCATGAGGCTCGCGACAACAATCTCCTGGGAGATGCGAAGCGGTACGGCCCGGGCAGGGCGAATGCCAGCTGCAACCAGCGAGACACGCCGGAGGTGCTCTCGTGGCTGCGGACGACGTCGTCCAGTAGAAGAGGGCGTAGGCGATGTAGACCAGACCAATGCTCGAAGGATGTCGCCGTGGCAGAGGACATTGCGGGGGCAGTCACATACGAGGTTCTTGAAATGAAGCGACTGCAGGTCGGCCAACAGGTGGTCTTGGTCCGCAATCCATCGTGCATAGTGAAGGACACTTTCCAAGGTAGCACGGCCCTCCCCAGCTTTGAATGGATCCGGGTCAGCGCCCATCTGTGAGAAAAGTGGCCAGGGGGCGGCCGATGTAGACGTCATCCTCATGAAGCTGCGGCCGGGTCCGAAAGACTTCCAATGCGACCGAACGCGTAGGGACATGGGATGCATCCTGCAACGGGGGTGAGAGGCCCAGATGGAAGCCCATGACCGTCATCAGGTCTTCTCGCAATTCGGAGGGCTCGAAGTGGAGTAGCGGCCGAACATCACCTTGAGGTGGCGCTATATAATAGGTGGTAGTCGAGGAACTGCCAGGATCCCATAACCATGTCGTACGGCCCACGCCGTGCAGCAAACGGCCAATGTGAAGACCAAGCTCGGCGTGTACTCGGCCTCATTGAACGTGGAGAATTGGCCAACTTGAGACGATCGCCACTCGTTGGGGTCATGAATGTGTCCACACCTGACAGCAGGCAAGGAGGCAAGTTCAGGTATGTTGTGACGAAACTTCTGTGCCTTGCGCCGAGCCCCTCCGAACACACATGCATCGTAATCCAAATCGAACCATTCACCCTCATGGTGAACGAACTGCTCAACAGGATCCCACCAGTGCAATGACCTCAACGGGTTCTCACGAAGGCAGGCGATGGTATGCTGAGCGCCCCAGTGTTGCAAGGCCAACAGGAAATCACTAGAAAAGTTGTCGGCATCCACCCGCTCTTGGTTCATAGGGTCCAACCCCGGCAGGCCCCTTGGTGGGAAGTCTTCAGACCGCAGGGGGCAAGGACCAGGGCGCTTCTCACGAGCCCGAGATTTAGTAGCACAGCTCATAGCCCCGGCAATGGTGGCAACTTTTGGAAGGACCTCCCGAATAGCCCGGCGAACCGATGGACGCGACACGTCCAAGTCCTGGTCGATCTCAATGTCGATGGGCGTGATGATCTCCCATTGGCACCACATCGGACTTGCGCAGTGTAGGTCAACGGACTCCAATTCAAAAGTCATTGAACACAGGATCGTCCAAAGGCCGGCCTCGGCCCCCCCCCCGCCAGAGGAGCGGCCCTCTTTTCAAGCAGCCTTGGGGCAGTTGTTGGGCGAGTGCTGAAACGAGCCACAAACGCGCCCCGACTGCAACACGACCCCACATCGGTGGGCGCCGCGCTGACAATTCTTCTTGGTGCGGCACTGATTGCGCTGGAAGGTTCCGTCACGGAGGCTGAAAACCACAGATCCAACCTGGCCAGCGGCTGCGTGCGAAGCAGGGGCCGCACTCGACGCCGGGCCCGTAGGGAGAGTGGGTCCCGGCAGTGCCCCTGCAACCACAGGGCGCCACGCTCCCTCATCACGGCTCCAATGATCACGCCCAAGGTCGTGGCACCAGTGCAACGGGCTGCCCACTGTCCACGCTCTTCCACATCAAGATGCTGGAGCAGCTGCAAGTGGCGGGACTCCGGAGTACGAAGGACAAGGTCATGGCAGCGACAAAAATAGGACAACAGGACGTCGTAGGGCACCTGCACATAGTGCAAACTGTCGGTATAGCAGGCGCAGTCGGCGCCGGCTCGACACCCGACAATGGCAAGGGCAAGGAAGTACGTCTCCATCTTGGCCATATAGGATAGCCAGGACTTGGTGGTGGGCTCATCGTCGTCATCCTCCTGGAGGTACAAGTTGTCCGTCAGGCGACGGCGCTTCTGGCTGTGAGTGCGCTGGAAGGCTGGGAGCGCAGAGGTGAAGGTGCATCACTTCGAAGTGGTTGCGTGTGAGCTGCCGGCTGAGCTTGGACAAGAGGCGATCAGATGGGAACTGCCTTGGCTCCGGCCGTAAGTGGTAACGACGAAAGAAGGCCTCTTTCAAGGTCCCTGATGGCCAACAGGGGCATTAAGCTGGCACACCTGGCGTGCACTGACGCCACCACGGCAGTCCGAGCTCGTTTTATCCATGGCGCTGAGACACAGGCCCACGTTGTGAGCCTCCAGCCATACCCGGTCTGTAGGTAGACCACCGCATCAAACGCTGCATCGGTGGCCTCCTGCAATTTCTGCAGGTTCTTGGCTTTGATCTTCGGAGCCGGAGGCGAATTCGTAGTAGAGGTAGTCCTCGACGAAGATGGGGCGGCAGCCGAAGAGGGATGCCCGGGGCGAGGTCGATGGCAATGCCGGAGGCACCTTTGGCGGCGGTGTAGCCGATGATGAAGGCTGGGTTGAAGCCAAGGGCAAGGTCGGAGACACCCTCGGCGGAGGTGCCTTCGGTTTGGGCGCTGCCGGCTGCAGCTGCCTTGGGTGGGCTCCACCCGGGCCCGCTTCACTGGCTGTGAAGGATTGTTGAACGAGAAGGTCGAAACAGTAGTCCGCGGCACCTGAGTGGGCCCAACATCCGGGCGGACAGCCGCGGAAGGCGCCGGGCGCTTCCGTCGGAGCGCTGCAGTGACGCGGCGGCCAGTTGCCTGAATAACCTGAACTTGGGCCGGAAGTAGGGACTTGACCACACGCATGCCAGGGATGGATTCCGTGGTAATGAGGCGGGGGTCAGCTGCCAAGAGCTCATCCGCGTTGCCTATGCAAGTCGCCAGTACCCAACGGGAAGTTCATCCCAAAGAGCCATGTGGAGGTCATGGAAAAAGTTCAACCCGGCCACTCGCAGCTGATGCCCCAGCTGTTGCTTCTGTGAGTCGTAACATAGGGGCGTAGTGGTAGTGGTCTTGGACGACTGGTCGGTCCATTGACCAAGAGCCAGCTTTTCGATCTCTGACAGCCCCACGTAGCCAGCAAGCGTAGGCAGAACCCTGCGAAAAGAATACGAGGACAAACTTGTAGTATACATAGCGGCGCTCAAACGAGGGCGCAAAATACGGATGAACTGAGGCGTGTCCACGGGTTGGGCCGTCGCAGAATCAAACCCAAGCCAATGCCAATGGCGAAAGGCCGGTCCAGAATGGGGCAAGACCTGCGAAAGATCCAACGTACCACAGTAGCGTGGCACGCTCCATGCAAAACCACCCCGGCTCCCAGTCTTGCCCTTGGTGCACCAAAACACCAGGATGCCACCATTGCCGCCCACAAGGTAGCTGCGTTGGAGGCGCGTGTACCGAACGACTCCAAAGCACATCGCGTAGGCACAAAAGACCAGTGGCCAATGTGGATCAGCAATGGTCATCTCCAGCGTGCCCAATAAATGCAGTACCATGGAGGGTTCCACCGTGGCAGCTTGGGCCTGCCCCTGGCCCAGCCGCGCACCAAGCCCGGAACGCGGCTTCGTCACCTCAGTCATGTCGAAAGGGAGGCGTAGATTGCGGACCAGCCAGCCCAGTGACGTGAAAGCTCGGGTGGGCGCTGCGTGCTGGCGAATAAAGGTGGCCAGGGTGACCCCAGATGAAGTGAGCACCACTTGCAGCTCCTGCCAGGTGTGGAGGGCCCGCTTGACTGTAGCTGCCTCAGCCTGCTGCAAAATACCTTTGAGCCGCGCCTCGAAGTTGGCGGTGAACTCCACGAAGCGGTCGGCAGGGGGCGGCTCGATCGCAAGGAGGATCGCCATGAGCTGCGGCAGGAATGAAATTGCGCCCGCTTCAGAGCCACCCGACTGGTGGCCCCGGGCGCTGGGCCTGACGGGCCCCGAAAAGGAAGGAGCAGGAGCAGGTAGCGATGTCAAAGTCGGTGAAATAGTAGGGCGAGGGGCAGCCTGCGAGACCTGCTCACGGCGGAACAGATCACGAACCAGTGCCCCGGCCCCAATCTCGACTTCACGCCGTCCATCGGCGATGGCTCGCCCCTCCAACAAGGCCTCCTCATACGTCAAGAAGTAGAAGGCCAAGTCGGACGCTGCCTCGATATGATGCGCCGCGCACCACCTGTCGAGCCTGCTCAACAGCACGGCGCGTTTGGGCATCATCAGAGCAGACATGGCAGCAACGAAACTGAAGAAAAATCTAACCTGAGGTACCAGCAGTGACTCTGCTCCTCAGGGGAGTCTCCCCAGTTTGGCTTGAGCATTCAAACATCGGGGAGACGTTGACTTGATGCTTCCCAAATAATTCCTCATCACCGACCCTGCCTACCTTGAATGATTGAATATATATATATATATAAATCATTTGTCTGTTCTAGTAATCATTCGTCTGTTCTAGAAGGGTAAACAAGCAGCAAGCACAGATTGGGCCACGAAGCAGATTTGTTCGACCCCAAAGCGCAGCTTGATTGATGCGAAGTGCGATTGGAACCAAAGAAATTCTCCGCCTGAGAAATGTGTAGAGCAATCCCAAGGTCAGTGTAAAGCTGGCCGGGATCAGCAGAGCTGATGCTCCCACAGCGTATTCGCAATACGCACCTGGCGGATAGGTCATGTGTCCACACCCGTGATTGCCTGGGAATCGGTCATCCACTTGCGTCCTATGATTAGTCCAACCTCAGTGGCTAGCAAAACGGTATGGAGGCAGGCAAGTGTCTTGTCCACAAACAGCCAGAAAAGTGTGTCGCCTACGTGATTGTCCAACCAGGAAGCTTGCATGGACCTCTCCATATCAACGACAGGGCACCCCGAACAAAAACAGTCGACAGTCACATGTGTCCACAAGCCGTGCCTAGGGCGCTGCCCAGCACGAAAAAGATCCACATGGGCAACAACACCAAAAGCCTCATCAACAGGCAGCACTGGCAGTACATGCACCCACACCTTCACAGCACATCTTTGAAACTGCAACACACCTATTAGCATCGACCCAAGCCGTTCGCTGGGAGAAGCGGTGCATCTCTGCAGGTTCGCGGCACAAACCGCCGCCGCTCTTCGCCCCACCAAGCCAAGGCGCTTCCGAGCGTCCACGCCCACCTCGGCCTGGAGAGAGGTCGTCGGTCTCTGCAGGAAGGACAAAGACTCACAGAACCTATGAAGCTAGGACAGTCAGGCGCCCAAAACTCAAAAGCCCAGCAAAAAAAAACGGCGTGCGAATTGTTTATGACCATGTTTTGTGGTTCGATGGCCTTTCAGGTCATGATGATTTTTCAGCGTTGGATCTTACATGTCTGCAACCTCTCAACCTGGGAATCAGAAGACTTCCTTCGAGTTTGTCGAAAAGAAAGGCATGGAAAAAACCAAGTCGACCAACCCCATCAATGCAATCCACACAGTTCCGAGGCTCCAGAGTGTTCACCTGGTTTCCATTTACGTTCTGTATTCCAACCAGCACGGGCTGCATGAACTGTGTGTTTCACATTTGTGAGAGCTGGGGAAAGAAAGACCTGTGTGGGTGGTCCTCGTCTCACCCGCGGCTCCACTGAGTGATGGCCCACCCACCTTTTCCAAGATGTTCAGGCGCGATCTCCGACAGCCTGGAACCAGGAGAAAGACCCCAGTCGATGGCTGAAATTGGCCCAAACACGCCCTGGCCAAAGGAGGAAAGGACCAAAACTTGTGGGTTGGGCAGTCTGACCATTCGCACCACCCATACAAACAGGATGTGTTTAAATTTAGACGCATTTCGTCAAACGCCTTCAGTGAACCTGAGGATTTGGGGCGCATCCAACGACTTCTCATTCAACGCGACATCGGCGGCCGACACCGCAGCAGGGTGGGGTGCCTTTTCGCAAATGGATCATTGCCACGCGGCCCAGGGTGGAGCCAATATCTGTTAAAGTGCCAGTAACATGCGTCGTCCTCACCTCAGCCCGACCACGCGCAAAAACAGGAGAAGGGGCGACATGATCAGGGGACTGGTGATTTGGAAGATTGTTTTTTCCTAGAGGGTGCTGTCGGCTTTGCCTTTTTCACCCGTCGATGCCATATATGCGTACATCTGCCTACCCATTGAGTGCTCTTGACCACTTGTATGTCGAAACTTTGGGCACCTTGAGCTCACACGCGCAAAATTTGGCAAGAACCCGAATGGATGACGCTCCACGAGATTGCAATGACCATACCCAGGCCAGCCCAGGCCAGGCGGGACAACGGTTGTTGACGACATACACACCCGCACACCTTGATCACACTGACTGACAGCCTCATCTTCACTAGCAGAGGAAAATGTCTAGGAACTTGCATCTGAGGACCCAGTAGATTCACAATCTGTCTGCGAAGCGGCATCTTTATATCGTCAACCAAGGGCTCATCCGCGGAGACCGTCTCTCCTCGACTCGATCGAAGTCGGAAAGGCTCTAAACCAAGAGGCAAAAAATCTAAAGCTGAAAGCGGCTGCGCCGGAGCTACCTCACCTACTACAGGAGGCAAGGCCCCGCAACCGGATCTCCTAATTTCATGCAACTGCACACGGAGCGCGGGCAGAACATCGTCCTCGGAGCACTTGCCCATCAAATTGGAACCTGACTCCTTGGACCAATGGTCAGGTCAAAGCTGTCACTGTAACCTTTAGGCTGTGCAATGTGTAGCCATTGGTTTGCGCAGGCTCAATGCCCCCCACCTCGATCAACAGACGGCGGCGGACAGGGAAGTTGCCCCGGGCTCCATGGGGGCCCGACAGGAGAAATTCGCATTTTGCCACTGGGTTGATCTACTTGTGCCTCCTTTTGACTTCGCCCCTGCCTTCAATGCGCTTGGTTCCCTGGCAGGTGGTTCATTGGATCGAGCGATGCGCCAAAAAGCAGCGGTTACACTTCGTCGCCACTTGCTTGGACGGGGACTCTGGTGTGAACTTGCGAACCACCATGATTGGCCCATGTATGATCCCCTGCTGCTGGACTCAGTTGCCTTACGCTCGGGCTCTAGTCCGAGCCGTTGATGGGGCGGCGTGCCCGCAGAGAAGCGCCGCCGCTTCCCCTGTATGTTGTCGCGGCCTTTGAGGCCAAAGTGCTAGCAGACCTAGAGACTGCTACTGCTTTGCAAAGTGATGATGGAGTGGTGCATGGTACTTGCTGGCGAAGTGGCTGACCAATTCAACAACGATGGGCTCAGCCACGGGTTTGGTTCGAAGCTGTCATCCAAGGATCCGCCGGCGCCAGCAAGACCAGCAGGCTCCACATGAGCAACTGCTAGCCGCTAGCCTAGGCCAAAATGGCCAAGTGTCTAGCTTTGCGGCCGAGGCTGCGGCAAACCAGCACCCGCATTCGCGAATGTCGGCTGCGCCCCAGGACGCGGAAGCGCCAGCCCCGGTCGAGCAAAGTATGATGCCAGTTTTGGCGCTTCAATGAGCGCTCCTCCCATGAAGACATGGGGAGCACAAGAAAAAAGAAAGCAAAACACAATCAATCCAGGTCACCGGATTCAAACACAAACCCAGATCAAAAGACAACTAACTGGAGTGTAAACCGCAGGTAGTGAGTTGTACAAAGAGAAGAGAGAGAGAGAGAGGGAGGGAGAGAGAGAGAGAGAGAGAGAGACAGAGAGACAGAGAGACAGAGAGACAGCGAGAGAGAGAGAGAGAGGGCAGCACCAGCTACATATATGCTTTAATGACTTCCTGGTTTCCTCCCATTCTTGGCCAAGGGTTTCGCAATCTTCGAAACAGGCGGACAACGGTAGAATGCAATTTAGTTTTGCACCCGTCACCAACATATACCTAGACCTTCAAGTCAAGTGTCACCTCACACCGGCGCCGAACATGTCTATCTGGGCCCCAGGCCACAGCTCCAAAGTGGGAGGTGCACATGGCATTCCTTAGTTTGCAAAGGCCAGGCATGGCCAGGCTTTGACTCAGGTTCGGGGTCGCTCAGCCATGCGCAATTCGGTTCGGGGCCAACCCCCCATCGGGCCAACCCCCCATCGGTCTCCCCTTTGCACCGAAACGCTGCAGGCCACAGGCCGCGGCCGACAGACACCCACTCAGCGAGGGTTTGGAGAAGCCGACCGCAGCGCCCAGCAGCAGGGCTGAGCCCCACGCGCTGGCGCGCGCGTGAAGAGGAGGCCAACAAGGAGGGATTGGGAAGCAACTGGCTCGCGGAAGGGTGCTGGAGTCAAAGGTTCACCGTTTCGGATTTCGGATTCTTCCACGATCTTTCAAAGGTTTCGCTGCTGAACTGAGCAATCGGACAAATGCTTTTGGTGTGTCGTTTTGTTGAGTTGGCGGAAGTGGGTCTCGTTCAAAAGAATCCGGCTGACAGGAAATCAGTGTCCATGTTCATCCACATAGTGACAAAATCCCAACGTTGGAATGGTGGCTGCACCCAACGAAAACCTGCTCCAGCAACTGCCAGCAACCAGAAAAAAAACAAGACAGTAGATTCAATAGGTTGGAGTTTAAACGCAGAAAAGAAGTCGTTGATGTTTACTGGTGAATGTGCTCCAATCGCGTCCGTCGCGAGATCCTTCGATCACAAGAGACTCCGCACCAAGGCAACGCCATAGAGAGACTTCCCACCGAAGTGGACCTACGAAGCGGCCCTGAAAAATTATGGCCCTTTTTGGGAGGGCAGGACACCCCCAATCCGCGGATCGCCGATGGAACAACACCCCGGCTAGGAGGCGAGTTTTGGGAGGAAAGAAACGGCCTTCTGGGAGAAAGTCTTGAAATGTTCTGACCATCGAAATGAGGCCAAAGAGATCACCCCTTGAAGATGTTCTGCCGTAGAGAGCCCAAAACGGGTCGCGGTCGGGGGAAGATGACATGGCATGATCATGGAGGATCTCGGCGTCGTCAAACAATGTGCTCCCTGCCAGTTGCTTCCAGAACCCAAATGTCTTGAGCTTGTCTGTCATGCAGTGAAACTCCAAACACAAACAGTGATGAAGAAAGGGCGAACTCGTCGAACTCCGTCGCCAGGTCTGTCACTACAAGAGGGAAATTTGGACCATCTCACATAGGAAGTTTCTGCTCTGTAACCGACGATCACAGTCACAAGTGCTCTTCACGCTCTGCCTGGTTCTTGTCGATCAGCCTGGGCAGCTTCGGCTGGAACATCTGCGACAAACAACAAAACCCTGCTCCACCCACCACAATATCGTTTAGGTATCTGGAAATGGGACCACACACTACAAATACCATTGCACGGTTTCCTTCTTTCAGGTGTCCAAGCAAGGACCGACCACTGCACCTGGAATTGGTCCTTCAAACGTTGGAGGCGCTATCTTCTGAGACCCCTTCAACATACACTCAAACAGGACCGCTGCCATGTCTCCCTCTCGACGCAACGGTCCAATCCTCAAAAAAGGTCAAACACGCGGTGCCAAGAACTGCTGCAACACAACACCCATCGCCCAGCTGCCACCCTATCCGCTGCACAGCAAGGGGCAATCCGCACATAAAGGAGCCGACAACGAAGGAAAGCACCAGAAAGATGGCCTCCGAGTGCTCAGAGATGGCTCCCAGAAAGGAGGTTACACGAAGGAAAGTACGAACAGAAATGCTGTACTTCGAAATGGTACGCGTTTTCTTCCTTCAACAATCTGCAAACCAGTCCGGCAAGCAACGGAAAGCGAGAAGCGAGCGGGCGCGGAGATAGCACCGGTCCGCAGATTTCGACGGATTTCGACGGACGTCGACGGAGTTCGACGGCTTTCGACGGTTTTCGTTTGCGTTTCTGCAGCGTCACTTTTTATGGTTTCCGCTCACTGGCATCAATCAGGCCACCAGACTCTCAGTGAGCACTCGTTTGGGACAAAGTAGGTTTTTCTTACGGGTCTCTTGGAGGGGTGCTCTTCTGTGCTCTTTCTGTCTTCTTGTGGGCCTTGGTGTCAAAAAACTCTCATCTTAAGTTG